ACTAGGTAATGAATTCTTTGCTTTTCCCCACTAGAGAATGAATTTTTTATTTTCGAAATTAATGCTTTGAACATAGGTATGTGAATTTCTATTATTTTGTAAATTAAAGCAATAGAAATATGGCTTATAGTTTGGTTTTTAGAAGCCATAAAACTACAAATTACATTGGGCTTTTGGTTGAAACAAGCTAATTTTTTTAGATGATATTGGGTCTTAATTAGACCTGGTAATTTTTTATCCAACCCACTAACTCGCTCGTTATCTGTCCGTTTAAAACAGGTTAGAATTATATATTTATAACCGGCGACCCGTTAATGACCCGTTAAGAGAACTCGATGTGTCACAGGTCAATAACGGATTGACCCACCAGGTTAACGGGTTTGATCCATTTACCTATCTAAAAATTAAAAAATTTTAAATTTATTATTTATTTATTTTGTTTTTCACTTCCCAATCCCACCTAAACCTCTAATAATTGAGTAATTTTTTCTAATTAGCTAATTGATTCTTTTAACTCATCATCTTCTAGAAGTAAAAATAATCCCACTCCACTTATGACTCACCTCCCGACCTTTCCTATTCTTGTTTGCCCTAATACTCTCTAAGACTCTAACTCTTCAAAGTTCAAACTCTTCTCATATTCTTCAACCTCCATAGTTCATACAACCTTCGACTCCACCTTTTCTCTTTAGCCTTTAACATTATCTCAGACTTAGAAGTTAGTCTCACCAAGTCACCATCGCATCCACTTAGCCCTTTCTTTCTTTCTCATTAGAGTTTGACAAGTGCTCTCTTTGTCACCAACTTTTCTCTCTAAAGCTTTTAAGATAAGTTATTTACTTATTTATGCTTTTTAGTTTTCTCTCCATTCCAAGTAAAAATTCTACTTGATCTTGTCCTTTGCTTAGATGTATTCAATTGATTGATTCTTTGAAAGCAATGACCAGAACAAATATGTTCCAATGATGTTTGTATTTTTTGGTTGTCATGCTACTACTCTTGTTTTTTTCTTTTTTTTACTATTGAGATTTATAAATGTGTGGTGTTCTTGAATTTGATTAATGTTGTTCTTTGAAGGGAGGTGGAGAAGATGATTCTAAAGAACTATAAATATGTATACATTAAATTAATGTGGAAAAAAAAATTCTTTTTATAAGATGTTGAATTTCTTTTTGAAATCTTTTGAATAATTTTTTTTAAATGATAATATGTACAAATTATAGAGAAAAAAAATAATTGGGTTAACTCACGGGTTGACCCGTGACCTGTGATGGCAAATTAAGGTCTGTCTTTATTGACTGTGACCCATTTTGACCCGTTACCCGTTTTGACCTGATCCTAACCCAACCAAACCCATCCATTTGCCAGTTCTAGTCTTAATATTTTATTGACATATGTTATATGCCTGAGTTTGTACTTTCTTTAGAACATATTAAGAATCAAAGGGAATTATTTCAATTTCTTTTGAAGGAATTGGCATTGCTGTTGGATTAAAAGCTTCAAGTTACCAATAAGAACTTAAACCTAAACTTTAATTTGGAATTAAGGTTTAAAATTCAAATATCTATACAGGTAAACAGCTACCTCCGAAGTACCAAAGAAAAAAACAAAAAAGGCTTCTAGCTACCTCCTATTTTTTCTAAACGCTATTGCAGCTGACAAGGAAATTTGAGATGGTGAGTGATCTGGCGGTTAGTACCACATGGCTGTGTTTTCAATTGGATGGGACACAGCTGAAGTGTTGCTCGGCCTGTTGCACCGAGAGAAAGTCCTCAGCCGTGTTCCATCCTCCAAGCTAGCAGGCTTCCAATCATGAAATACCATTTCAGTCTCTGTTTAGTTTTCCATTTCATTTTCTTCTTTCCTCAATATATATCTCCATTTTCTCCTGGTATTCGAAAAACAAAGAAATATTCCAGTTGCTCGATCGCCTTCACTTTTTGGGAGGCTCTAATTCGAGCTGTTTATGTACATAAAAAGATGGGGCAGATTGGAAACTTCATCAACAGCTTGAAGGCCCCGGCTCTGATGACTCTGGTTCAGTTTCTAAATTCTGGGATCAATGTTTTCTATAAACTTGCAGCAAATGATGGAATGAGCTTGAGGGTTATCATTGCTTATAGATTGATGATTGCCACAGTAGTTAGCACTCCATTTGCTCTCTTCCTGGAATGGTACGTACGTCTTTTAACTAATTTCTTCTCTCTTTTTTCATTACAAGATGTGACAATATGTTTTTACCAGTAATTTCCACACGAGTTTTTCAGGAAGAGTTGGGTTACTCTAACTTGGACTATATGTTTTCAAGCTTTTCTTTGTGGGTTATTTGGGTAAGCAGTTGAATAACTGAATTGATCTTGTTCATGGTCCATACACTATTTGGCCAAAGAGAGAAGGAAAAAAAAAAAAAAAAACCTCCTCATACTGGGGAATGAATTCTTTCTTTGTGAGAAATATTTTTTTCTTTTATTACTAAGTGAAGTTTGTCTTTTACGGTGTCGAACTATCTTAAACTCTTGAATTGAAAATCAAATTTAAGTATAATTTGACTAAAGGTGTTTGATATAACAGATTAAAACTATCAGTTAGTAGTTTTGTTTAATTTAATTACTAATTCAAGCACCTTTATTTGTCAAATTTTGTGAAATTTTTAGTTTTAGACTGCCATACTAAATAAGTTGGTCTATTTGTGAAATTAATTAAAGAACTTTTTATTTTAATTACAGGGGATCCCTAGCTCAAACTTTGTATCTCCAGAGCATGGTGTACACATCTGCAACGTTTGTTTCTGCCATAAACAATCTCGTTACAGTCTTCACTTTGATTATAGCGGTGTTTTCAAGGTAGCCATCCATTTATTCATGCAATATACTCCTAATATTCATTAATATTTTCTGAAACTTTTATCTTGATGTTGAGTGTTTTTGGGTCCTACACATATTTCATCACAGATTGGAGACACTGAAGCTTGGAATGGTAGCTGGGAAGGCCAAACTGATGGGGATATTAATAGGAATAGGTGGTGCAGTGATGCTAACATTATACAAAGGAGCAGAAATTAACATCTGGTCAACAAACATTAACCTTTTGCACCCTGATCAAGTCTCTGCACATCCAGGACGTTCCCATCCTGGCACTTCCACTTTCATACTAGGTGCTTTTCTGGCGCTTTTGAGTTGTGTTTCCCTGTCTTTCTGGATGATCATTCAGGTCACTTTCAAAACTCCAAATTTATTTATTTCTAGCTAACAAAATTTCATTAATGAGTACCTTGTATAAGGATGGAAAATTATTCAATTTCCTTTCCTTTTTGCAGGCTAAGTTGGGTGTTACATTTCCATATATGTTTTCAAGTAGTGTCTTAATGTGTGCAATGGGATCAATACAGAGTGTTCTTATTACCCTTTGCACAGAAAAGGATTGGAGCAGATGGAAGTTGGACTGGAATATTGGTCTCCTTACTGTAGTCTACACGGTATGTATTCCTTGAAGAGTCCCGTGTTAACACCAGCCATTAGATGGAAGGATCCTCCTCTTCTCTCATTATCAGGGATCCCTCCCTAATCCAACTGTTAGTGTTTTATACTTCAGACTACAAACACTTTTTTGTTCCTTGAATTTCTCAGTTTGAACATCTTGAAAGAAAATGAAGCGTAGAATGTCAGACTAAAGTTCTAATTTTTGGAAAATGTTGTATTGCAGGGAATTAGCTAGCTCTACATTGATTTTCTTCTTGATCTCATGGGGGTTGCGCAACAAAGGCCCCCTCTATGCTACCATTTTCAATCCACTTATTCTCATCTTTGTAGCCATCATAGCATCTTTGTTTCTGGATGAGAAACTACATGTAGGAAGGTAAAGTTCTAATTTTTCTTTAGAAAACTCGATTTAATATTCAATATTTGTGCCGTTACTTTCCTATTCTTTCAAATATTACAGCATAGTGGGAGGAATATTGATCATTTTTGGGCTGTATGTGGTGCTGTGAGGGAAGGCCAAAGAAATGAAATGGAACACTCAGTCTCAATTGATGCCAACAACAGCATTTCCGGAAGATGGATCAGTTGATATAATTATTGTAGAAGCTCCAACCAATACTGATACCACTAAGAAATCTACATGTAAAAAGGAGAGGACGATATGAGATAATTGTTGTAGAAGCTCCAACTAATACTGATACCACTAAGAAATCTACACGGAAAGAGAAGAGGACGATACGAGAGAAAGAAAGAGAAGGAGGGCGCTCTGCATTGGTAGATTTCAATGAACATCATGCTTAATTGTTTAAAGTAAATATAAGTATGTAACAACTGGATTCGGACACCTTGAACAGTGCCTGATTCAACTCAATAAAAATAACAAACCCTGTCTTCTGCTGGAGAGTAGTGGTCTAAGACTTGCAACTACAAGACTCAGAATGCTGGGCAACTGGAAGGAGAAGAACTTTACTTCTCGATTTCCAGCTACCAGGCCATCAAGAGCCCAGGTAACAAACCCTGTCCTCTATGAAACAACTAAAGACCCAATAAAGCTTAATCCGGAATTGGAAGCAGGAAATAGAATTTTCACTATATACATGACCACAAAGTAACTATATCCAACATGCATCTCATTCCTGTTCCAGTCAAAACAGATTTTTTTTTTTTTTTTAACCCAATTTAAATTTTAAAGATCTAGCATGGAAAACAGAAAACAAGTTAAAATTCAAAAGGTTTTCAAGATCGAAATTAGCTAACCTCCCTTGAGCTACGCAAAAATTTGATCAGCGTATTCAGAAAATTATTAGAAGCTTCTCATCCCTTCTTTGCAACTAAATTGGGATTGAGGAGTAATTTGGGAGAACACAAAATTTTGGAAATTTTTAGTTTTGGGAAATTACATTTTAACCCGCTAACCTTCTGCATTGCTCCACCTAAGAAATTATTTTTCTTTTTCACGTTTTTCCTTTTTCGATTTAGTCTCTGCAATATGATATTCAAAGGATTTAGAGAATTTTAAAAGCCAATTTTTTTTTTCATTTTCATTTTTTTTTAAACATTTAGTCATAAAACTGACTCGAATCATTGCCCTTAAGGAGGAGGATATGAACTTTATAAGAGTGACTAAAATCACTTGACCCACAAGACCAGTTCCTTTCTTATTTTTGGCAATAGAACTGTTTGAGAATTGGATTAATATGACAGCAGTTCATGTTTAACTCCTCACTTTATTGACATGTTTTTTCATTCATGCTTATCTCAGCAATCAATAATTATAGGTATTCATCCCTAATTGTAGATAGCTTTTTATATACACTAAACTGTTTGAATTTGTTATTGACCTAATTAAAATTTATAATTAGTATTATATGTTATACTTTAATTTTAAACTATAATGTCATAATATAAAGATTTTGCTATAGTTTCTTTTTATATACACTTAACTGTTTGAATTTGTTATTGACCTAATTAAAATCTTTATTTTTCATAAACTAAATAATTAAAGGGATTCATAATTACTATTGTAATTAAGATTCAAACTCTTCATCTTAATTTTAGAATCAAAATTTTAAAATTTGTGATTACAAACTCTTTTAAACCCTTGTTAATATCGACTAATTAAATACTGAATTGGTGCCACCAGCACTTCCATTAGGTGGATCAACTGGTTTGATGGTTGTTGAAAATCCAACTTTAATACCATGCCCGTGGACAGAGATTTATCAAAAAAAATCCGAATATAAAAAAGAGAGAGCACCATATGAGTGAAAAAGAAAAGACTAATTCCACTTTTGGATTTGAAACATCATTGATCCTTGTGCATCCATTAGTCATGAAATGAAGGCAAATTTGTTTCCACTTTGGATTTGAAGCCTTCCTTTCTCCATCAAATTTGTCAGGCCGCATGAGTATGAATTGACCAGCAGTATGTATGGATCTTAATTTGTCCCTTAATTTCTAGATCATGTTGGAAAACAATTGCTTCGTTTTGCACGAACATCATCTTATAATTGGATTGATTATTATCATCGCTCATGTGTAGTATTTGTCTAATCCTTACCTAAAAGAAAAAAAAGATAACAAATCAAATTTCAACTCCTCTTGCATCCATCTTCTTTCCAAAAGAAAAAGAAACAACCATCCAGTAAATGCGTGCAGCCTGCCTAATTTACAACTTTATAGCAAAGTTAGCTTTGTGTGTGTTATTGACAACTCCTAACTCATTGTATTATTACGATAACTCATGTCTAAAAACTTTCTTCAATTTCATTT